CCGCCCGACCCATCGTGCTCTGTGTGGGGACAGGAGGCAGGCTGCAGCGGCTGCTGCCGCCCGACCCATGGTGCTCTGTGTGGGGACAGGAGGCAGGCTGCAGCCGGCTGCTGCCGCCCGACCCATCGTGCTCTGTGTGGGGACAGGAGGCAGGCTGGAGCCGGCTGCTGCCGCCCGACCCATGGTGCTCTGTGTGGCGGCAGGAGGCTGGCTGAAGCCGGCAGCTACCGCCCGACCCATGGTGCTCTGTGTGGGGACAGGAAGCAGGCTGGAGCCGGCTGCTGCAGCCCGACCCATGGTGCTCTGTGTGGCGGCAGGAGGCTGGCTGAAGCCGGCAGCTACCGCCCGACCCATGGTGCTCTGTGTGGGTGTTGTATCATGGTGACATTCTGGCCTGGGAACACACACACACACACACACATACGCACACACACACACGCGCGCGCGCGCGGCTGAGTGGACAGCGCTCGGGAGTCGTAGTCCTAAAGGCTCGAGTTCGATCCCCGCCGAAGGCGCAAATAAATGGGCAGAGTTTCTTTCACCCTGATGTGCCTGATCACCTAGCAGTAAATAGGTACCTGGGAGTTAGACAGCTGCTACGGGCTGCTTCCTAAGGATGTGTGAGTGTGTGTTACAGAGTGGTGTGTGTGTTACAGAGTGGTGTGTGTGTTACAGAGTGGTGTGTGTGTTACAGAGTGGTGTGTGTGTTACAGAGTGGTGTGTGTGTTACAGAGTGGTGTGTGTGTTATATATGTAGTGGACACAATAGAATTAAAATAAATTGATTAGAAAGGTGGGATCCAGGAGCTAATATAGCTCGATTCTGCCAATTAAATACACACACACACCAGCCCGTCCCACACACACACACACACACACACACACACACACACACACACACACACACACACACACACACACACACACACACACACACACACCAGCCCGTCCCAGACACACACACACACACACACACACACACACACACACACACAAATTAGTAGTTAGTAACAGTAGATTGACAGTTGAGAGGCGGGCCGAAAGAGCAAAGCTCAACCCCCGAAAGCACACCTAGGTGAATGCACACACACACATACCTAGTTAAGCCTGTTTAACTACCTAGTTAACAACACAACATACCTTGTTAAACACAAGACAAAGCTAGAGAAGATTCAGAGGTACGTCACCAGACTAGTTCCGAAGCTGAGAGGTATGAGCTACGAGGAAAGGCTATGGGAGCTAAACCTCACGTCCCTGGAAGACAGAAGAGTAAGGGGAGACATGATAACCATCTACAAAATTCTCAGAGGAATTGACATGGTGGACAAAGACAAACTGTTTTGCATGGAAGGAACACGAACAAGGGGACACAGATGGAAACCTAGTACCCAAATGAGCCACAGAGACATTAGAAATAATTTTTTCAGTGTCAGAGTAGTTAGTAAATGGAATGCATTAAGTAGTGATGTGGTGGAGGCTGACTCCATAATCAATTTCAAATGTAGATTTGATAAGAGCCCAGTAGGCACAGGAATCTGTACACCAGTTGATCGACAGTTGAGAGGCGGGACCAAAGCACCAAACACACAGCAATAGGACAGTAGGAGACTAGAGCATGACCTCGACAGACTGAAAGAATGGTCAAATAAATGGCTACAAGAGTAGAGTCCTACATGTCGATGTTTGCGGATGACGCAAAGTTGATGAGAAGAGTTGTGACAGATGAGGATTGCAGGATCCTCCAAGAGGACCTGAACACGTTGCAGAGATGGTCAGAGAAATGGCTACTGGAGTTCAACACGAGCAAATGTAAAGTTATGGAAATGGGACTAGGTGATAGGAGACCAAAGGGACAGTACTCAATGAAGGGGAACAGCCTACCTGTGACGACGCGAGAAAGGGACCTGGGCGTGGACGTAACACCTAATCTATCTCTTAAAGCACATATAAATAGGATAACGACAGTAGTGTACTCTACACTGGCAAAAGTTAGAACATCATTCAGAAACCTAAGTAAGGAGGCATTTAGGGCGCTTTACACTGCCTACGAGAGGCCAGTCTTAGAGCATGCCACCTCATTATGGAGTCCCCATCTGAAGAAGCATATAAGGAAACTGGAAAAGGTTCAGAGGTTTGCAACGAGACTCGCCCCAGAGTTACAAGGGATGGGGTATGAGGAGCGCCTGAAGGAACTGTGCCTAACGACACTAGAAAAAAGAAGGGAGAAGGGGGACATGATAGAAACGTATAAAATACTCAGGGGGATTGACAGAATGGACAGAGACGAAATGTTCATACGGAATAGTAACAGAACGAGAGGACATGGGTGGAAACTGGAAACTCAGATGAGTCACAGAGATGTTAGGAAGTTTTCTTTTAGCGTGAGAGTAGTGGGAAAATGGAATGCACTTAAGGAACAGGTTGTGGAAGCAAATTCTATTCATAATTTTAAAATTAGGTATGTAAGAGAAATAGGACCATAGACATTGCTGTAAACAACCGATGCTCGAAAGGCGGGATCCAAGAGTCAGTGTTCGATCCTGCAGACACAAATAGGTGAGTACACACACACACACACGCACACACACACACACACACACACACACACACACACACACACACACACACACACACACACACACACACACACACGCACGCACACGCAGGCACAGCAAGTGGACAGCGCTCGGGATTCGTAGTCCTAGGGTCCGGAGATCCATCCTTGGCGATGGGGGAAACAAATGGGTAGAGTCTCTTTCATCCTGATGCTTCTGTTCACTTAGGAGTTAATAGGTATCTGGGAGTTAGACAGCTGCTATTGGCTGCTTCCTAGAAGTGTGTGTGTGTGTGTGCGTGTGTGCGTGTGTGTGAAATAAATGAGTTGATTGATTGACAGTTAAGAGGCGGACCCAAAGAGCCAGGGCTCAACCCCCGCAAGTACAACCAGGTGAGTACACACACACACACACACACACACACACACACACACACACACACACACACACACGCACACACACACACACACACACACACACACCTATACTGCTTTGGAAATATGTAAATGATCTCCCAGAGGGAACAGACTCGTTCCTCTCAATGCTTGCTGATGAGGCAATAATTATGAGGAGGATTAAGACAGAGGAAGATAGTATGAGGCTACAAGATGACCTAGACAAGCTGAAGGAATAGTCCAACAAATGGATATTGAAGTTAAATCTAAGTAAATGTAAGGTAATGAAACTAGGCGGAGGAAACAGAAGGCCAGACACAGGATACCAAATGGGAGATGAAGTCCTTCACGAAACAGACAGAGAGAAAGATATGGTAGTTGATACAACGCAAAACCTGTCTCCTGAAGCCCACATCAAAAGAATAACATCGGCGGCGTATGCGAGGCTGGCTAACATCAGAACTGCCTTCAGACACCAGTGTAAGGAATCTTTCAGAACCTTGAATACCATGTTTGTAAGGCCAATCCTAGTGTATGCGGCCCCAGCATGGAGCCCGTACCTTGTCAAGCACAAGACGAAAATGGAAAAAGTTCAGATGTATGCCACTAGGCTAGTCGCGGAACTAAGAGACATGAGTTACGAGAAATGGCTGCGTGAAATGCACCTCAGGTCGCTGAAAGACAGAAGAGCTTGGGGAGACATGATCACTGCATACTAAATTCTCAGGGGAATTGACAGGGTTGACAGTGATGGACTATTTAACACGGGTGGTACACGCACAAGGAGACACAGGTGGAAGCTAAGTACCCAAATGAGTCGCAGAGACATTAGAAAGAATGTTTTCAGTGTAAGAGTAGTTAGTTAATGGAATGCATTAGGCAGTAATGTGGTCGAGGCTGACTCCATAAACAGTTTCAAATGTAGATATGATGAAGCTCGAGAAGCTCAGGAATCTGTACACCAGTTGATTCACAATTGAGAGGCAGGACCAAAGAGCAAAAGCTCAACTTCCGCAACAACAACAAGGCGAGTACTGATACACATGCACTCTGTGGCTCACTCTCACTGCCTCAGTTTCTAACCCACTTTAATGGAACAGGGAAGGAGAATGAACGCGATGTAACACTGCATAATGGAACGGGCGGGACAGGGAGATACTACCTGCGAGGTGAGCAACTAAGTATTTGAGGATTTCAGCAAGGAACTGAAGGAAATGAAGGACACAATAAAAATCCTCCAGACTGAACTGTGGGCACCTCAAAAACGGATCAAGAAACTCGAGGAAAATCTCAGTCAGACCAAGTATGAGTTATTCAACCGCCTGGAAACAAGGAATGAAAGTGATGGAAGACCTTTGCCAAAGACACAGAAATGTTTGCTAAAATGTCACAAAGCAGCCCAGGTACTATGTCTGCATCCAAAGAAGTGAATGAAGCTATGAAAGCAGCTACTTCTCAGGAAGCTGCAAAATGCTCTTCTCAGCTGCTGGAAAGAAAAAAGAGCTTTTTTGTAGTAATAGGAGTTCAAGAAGTCTCCAACCAAGAGTGAAGAAGGAAGAACGAAAGAACTGTGACGAAGAACCTGGAGGGTATACATATATATGTACCCTCATATATTTATATATATATATATATATATATATATATATATATATATATATATATATATATATATATATATATATATATATATATTATATATATATATATATATATATATATATATATATATATATATATATATATATATATATATATATTCAGTTGCATATTGTCCAGGGGACCATTCTGGCTTGTTCGCATATATATATATATATATATATATATATATATATATATATATATATATATATATATATATATATATATATATATATATATATATATATATATACGCAGAATAACCACATATGAAAAATAGAAAATGCTTAACGCGTTTTCGGCTAATTCGCCTTCATCAGAGCAAAGTAGAATCTGATGAAGGCGAATTAGCCGAAAACGCGTTAAGCATTTTAAGCATTTTCTATTTTTCATATGTGGTTATTCTGCATACTTGGATCAGTGTTTTTGTGATCATTGTTGCATATATATATATATATATATATATATATATATATATATATATATATATATATATATATATATATATATATATATATATATATATATATATATAAAAGTTTGTGAGGGTACCACCTCTGGTGCCAATGTGGGGACCCACAGCCTCGGAGAAGAAAATAAAAAGTATTCAGAGGAGACCTTGTGGTTTCTCACTGAACACTAATATTATCTTCTCCTACCACCCCCATTATTTTGTATGTACACATATATATTTACTTTATTTGAACTTTGTTACAAAAATGGAGTTACATATGGGTTACAAAGATGATTATCATAGGTTGTCGAGTTCCTCCAGCTCCTCAGATGGCGGGCAGGAACCCTGGATGCAGTGCGCATTTCCCCTCTGTATCGCCACACTGAGGTGCTGGAAAAGAAAGCTTGCAGCTCTTGGGTCCCTTGTTGTTTCAATGAGCCTAGAACCCAGTTCCTCCAAAAAACTGGTAGCACTTTTACCCCAGGCGCCGAGTGTCTCAGAAGCAATGGGGACAAAATTGTAGTGGTGATCCAGTTCTCTATACTTACGGGATTTGGCTGCTTCCCTGTGGGTGGCAGCGCCACCTGGTTGTGCAACACTGAGGTTAATGTAGGTGTTAGCCAGGGTTGATACGCACGTGTAGTCCCATACCAACTGCTTGCCATTCTTCCAGGGGTTCACTGTGATACCATCCGGGCGACCAATAAGAGCATCAGAGTTACGGGGCGTTAGGTAACGGGGCTCTCTTTCAGCTGGGCATCCAGCTGTGGTGAGGCTCCTCTTGATGATGTCGTTAACTTCATTGTGCCTCGAGTGCCATCCCCCTGTGCTTTGGCAGAGTAGGCCATGGTGGCCGTACCTGTCAGCCACCACCTCGCCGCAAATACACCTATATCTGGTGTGGATTGGGGCAGCAAGGCGGAGGGCCACAGCAATTCGGAGGGCATGTGGTGTGAGACGCGTGCCAGTTGCCGACATTGGGGTTGCTAACAGGAAATCCCCTGCATGTGGTGCTGCTACTGCTGTGAGGCGAGCAATGTCGTGTTGTGTTGTTGCAGCACCCAGGCACTCTGCAGCAACTTGGTCTACAATGGGCCATCCCAGCTGGATTGCCTGTGGGCTTTTGGGGATGGTGGTTGAGGTGATTGGCCTGCACGAGAGGCCCACTCTGTGGCACAGCGTGTAAAATTGGGATCATGTACACCTGCCAGCTGATGTAAGTGGGCAGGTAGAATTTCCTTCACAAGGTCGTCGGATGCTGATAAGGAGGACAGGAAGGCTGGAACAACGATATATATATATATATATATATATATATATATATATATATATATATATATATATAGATAGAGAGAGAGAGAGAGAGAGAGAGAGAGAGAGAGAGAGAGAGAGAGAGAGAGAGAGAGAGAGAGAGAGAGAGAGAGAGAGAGAGAGAGAGAGAGAGAGAGAGAGAGAGAGAGAGAGAGAGAGAGGGTTTTCAGGCTAGGAGGCTACAAGCAGGAAAGGAAGCGACTGATAAAGATGGTGTTTACGAATGAAACCACAAAAGATGCAATATTATTCAGGTAGAGCAATCGTCTGCATGTAAGTTTTTTTTTGTTTTGATGTTTTTTCTGTAGAAGGACAGACTGATGGAAGAGAGAGACAGGGCACCAGAAGCAAGGAGGGGAAAAGGGAATGGGGGAGCCACAGTTCAGCACCTTCAGTAACTTCAGAGGGAGTGGGAAACCCTTCACCAGTAGGTCAGCATCTCCAGAGAAGAGTGTAACAGACCAACCTTCTGTTCCAACCCAAACTTTTCTCCCGTAATTACCACCTACATCTCTCCAATACGTAGAGACCCTCTGCAGAACATGCCCTGCCTGATCCCCGACCCCATGCTCTGCCTGATCCCCCACCCTATGCCCTGCCTGATCCCCCACCCCATGCTCTGCCTGATCCCCCACCCTATGCCCTGCCTGATCCCCCACCCCATGCTCTGCCTGATCCCCCACCCTATGCCCTGCCTGATCCCCCACCCCATGCTCTGCCTGATCCCCCACCCCATGCTCTGCCTGATCCCCCACCCTATGCCCTGCCTGATCCCCCACCCCATGCTCTGCCTGATCCCCCACCCTATGCCCTGCCTGATCCCCCACCCCATGCTCTGCCTGATCCCCCACCCTATGCCCTGCCTGATCCCCCACCCCATGCTCTGCCTCGTCCCCTACCTTATGCCCTGCCTGATCCCCCACCCCATGCTCTGCCTCGTCCCCTACCTTATGCCCTGCCTGATCCCCCACCCTATGCCCTGCCTGATCCCCCACCCCATGCTCTGCCTCGTCCCCTACCTTATGCCCTGCCTGATCCCCCACCCCATGCTCTGCCTCGTCCCCTACCTTATGTCCTGCCTGATCCCCCACCCTATGTCCTGCCTGATCCCCCACCCTATGCCCTGCCTGATCCCCCACCCTATGCCCTGCCTGATCCCCCACCCTATGCCCTGCCTGATCCCCCACCCTATGCCCTGCCTGATCCTTCTTTCTCCAGGTAAGGGTCCCACCAGCAACATCAGCAAGTCTACCAGCAACATCTACAAGTCCACCAACAACATCAACAAGTCACAAGTAACTCCACAACTCTCTCGCCCGCCCTTACCCAGCCAGTTTGGCGTCTCAGGGAACACCCAACGTAACTACAATGATTGTTAATGATAATGTCGTCGCTACAACGTTGTATGAGCGAAGTAGCAGGCATCCATCAATCTCATGACACTATGGAGTTGTGCTCTGGTTGTCGGTCTGGAGTGGCCTCTACAGGGCGCAAAGCCAGGGTAGGTTGATATGGGGGAGAAGCTGTCACCCATGCAGCAGATCCCCACCTCCTCTCCACGGTGCTGAAATACGATTGGTTCCAGAGCGTAGTAATGGTTCACATAATGCCATATAAATGCGTGGCGTCTTGACTGGGGTGTGGGAAGGGGGAGGGGAGGCGTGAACCCTCCCATCTCACACATACGAACTGTCACCAAACTTTGTGTCTCAAACTCGCTGAAAGTATCGTACGCGTTATGATATTAACGTTTAAGTAATATGACAGAAATAAATGCAAATTATGATTTTTTTTAAGAGGAAATGTGGAGGCCGCTCATTCGTGCTCATCATAGTTTAGCGACACAGGTTCGATCCCTTTGTGCTGCCTCTCTTTTTACTTTTTTCTTATTATTACATCACGTTCTTGTCCTTTCATTGTGCACGATTATTCATTTTGCTATGAAATACTTTTCAATAAAGCAACAGTTTTCGTTGGGAATAAAGGGACTCAAAATAATCAAATGCTTCGTCGTTTCCAGTAAGGTCTAAGACCTGAGATAAGTAGGTACTCCTTTACGTTATCTCTACTCTAGACCTAGTCTCACCTACCCTAACCTTACCTGACCTACCCTAACCTGACCTAAATCTTACCTTACTTACCTTAATCTTACCTGACCTTCTCTAACCTTACCTGACCTTCCCCAACCTTACCTGACCTTCCTTTACCTAACCCGACTTACTCTAATCTTACCTAATCTTCCCTAACCTTACCTGACCTTACCTAACCCAAACTGACCTACACTAACCTCACCTACCAAGAGACAATTCACACCACCATGGGAGGATTGTAACGTAGATGTAGTAATTATTCCCTTACAAAAGAAAAAAAATATGAGATAGGAGAGCTGAGGCCAACATATGATTGTATAATTAGACAACTGCCTACAGAAAACACTCTACATGTATATTGTGATGGGTCAGTAGCTAGGGATGGGAAGGCAGGATGTGGAGTCTTGATCAGGGAGTACACTGACATCGGCACTGTAGATACTGTTATTGGACGCCGCTTAACTGACAATGTCTCTTCAACGCAGGCCGGACTCCAAGCTTCAAGCTGTATTAGCAGGATTACAGGAAGTAGTCAAATGTGGTAAAAATGCCAGTTTGTTTGTAGACAGTAGAGGAGCGCTGGAGTCTTTAAATAGCAGACGCCCAGTATACCAGCATATTATGATCCAACCCGTTCTCGCACTTGCTTACGGTCAATATTGGCTTATTTAATAAGTGCATATGTGACATACTAATTGATTGTGAATATTTTAGTTTACCTTGAAAAGCTTCATAGAAAACACCGACCTCACCTAACCTTCTTAGTATGTTAAGATAAGCATCTTATTGCTTCATATTTACAATTATTACTTAACCTATCAACGGTATAGGTTAAGTAATAATTGTAATTGGCCAGCACCATTACTTAACCTATACCTATCAACGGTATAGGTTAAGTAATAATTGTAATTAAGAAGCAATAAGATGCTTATCTTAACATACTAAGAAGGTTAGGTGAGGTCGGTGTTTTCTATGAAGCTTTTCAAGGTAAACTAAAATATTCACAATCAATTAGTATGTCACATATGCACTTATTAAATATGCCAATATTGACTGTAAGCAAGTGCGAGAACGGGTTGTATGATCGAGTGTAGAGAGAATGTTAAGACATTAGAAAAAAACTGGGTATAAAACAAGATTCATGTGGATTCCTTCACATGTGGGAATACTGTTGAATGAGGTAGTTGATGACATTGCGAAGAGAGCCACAGAAAAAACTCTTGTCGATGTTGTATGTCAGAAAACTTTGAAACACATACAGACAAGAATCAAGATGATCCAAGAGGACGAGGAAAAAGTTAAGACAATGAGAATTGTGGACAACAGTAACACACTTAAGCATTATTCAATAATAAATACAAATTCGTCCTTTACCTATGGAAGAGGAAAGTCTACTAGTAAGGATTCCATTTACATGAGATTAAGATTAGGATACAAATATATCTGGCAATACGGTGTTGATGTCAGTGAAAAAGATAAGGAGTGTAAATTATGTAGTATGCCGCACGCCCACACCTTAGAACATTATGTATTAGAGTGACATCGTATTGATAACTATAGAAAATAAGGAAATAAGTAGTGTACTAAATCAAATTGTTTGGATGTGTGATAATGATATGATAGACAGGATACTTAGGAGCTACAAGAATTTTGCCCCAAGAGTGTAACACTTATATGCTGTGCTTATTTTATTAACCTGCAATGTTAAATGGGATTCTTGTATTGTGATTTGTATATTTGTACTCACTAAATTTGTGCGCCCCTTGAGGGACTTGAAGTAAAGGGAGGGGGGGGGGTAGAAATAGCCTAAGCTACTCTATCCCTTTGAGATGTATTTTATTGTCTCAATAAACGTACTTGACCTTGAACCTCACCTACTCCAGCCTAACCTAACCTAACCTTCCCTCGCCTAACCTAACCTAACCTTCCCTCGCCTAACCAAACGAAAATTACACGTAGTTTTATTTTACATGTGGTGTGGAGGAGACACGTGACGTCACTATGACGGCCCGGGGTAATAGATCCTTCAGGTTGTTTGTGCCCCGCAGAGCCGCCGCCGGGGCTGCAGTGGAGCAGCAGCGGCGTGTCTGTGGCCGGGGCGACGAAGGTGCAGCGGGAGGGCCAGGTGGCCAGCACCGTGCTGCACGTGGTGGCCTCCAGGGCCACCGCGGGGGCCAACATCACCTGCGCCACCACCAACACCCTCCCGCCCACTCCCACCAACATCCATCCCGCCATCACCAGCGTCTCCAACGTCACTCTCACCAACAACGACGTTGACGCGTCATCAGCGGTCGCAGCGGTCTCCACCACCACCATAACCAACACCACCACCATCACCAACGCCGTCACCGCCACCATCACCGTCAATCGTGAGTACCCCCGTGTTCTTACCCTGCTGGGACGGGCGTCTGTCCCGACATATCTGCCCCAGGAGTATACACCAACGCTCTGGGAATCTACCCGTCTACCACACTCAACGTTGCGTGTGCTGTGGTAGATGTTTCCCCTCTCTGGACTGTTCCTCAGGACTCCCCTCTCCCCTTCCCTTCCACGTCTCCCTCCCGTATCCTGGGACAGTTCCAGTCACTCCCTTCGTCAATTTTACAATTATTTAAGATCTTATCCGGTATTTTGTACGCTTCCTTCCTTCTATTGTTCCTATCAGCTGCAAACATCGACTTGTAGGAGTCTGTCGTCACGTAGGGAGTCTATATCCTCACGTAGGGAGTCTGTATCCTCACGTAGGGAGTCTGTATCCTCACGTAGGGAGTCTGTATCCTCACGTAGGGAGTCTGTATCTACACGTAGGGAGTCTGTATCCACACGTAGGGAGTCTGTATCCTCACGTAGGGAGTCTGTATCCACACGTAGGGAGTCTGTATCCACACGTATGAATCTATATACTGCAGTAGGAGGCCGTCCATACCTCATCTGCCTCTGTTCTTCCTCATTAGCTAAGCTGCACTGAATATTCAAACACCAGCTGGATCCACAGGCTCCTAATATGCCATTGTGGTGTGCCTCTTCAATATGCTGCATTCTGCATTATTATTTATGTAAGTGTGAGTCAGTCCTTCCCTCTCATTGTTTACTTGTCATGTTGTATAGAGAAGTTCCCCCCCCCCCTTCATGGTGTATAATAATGCTCATTTGTCATGGCTGTATAGGCACGTTTCCACCATCATGGTGTATAATAATGTTCATTTGTCATGCTGTATAATAATAATTCCGCTCTTCATCTTCGCTGGATTCCAAGGGGGAGTTCAATCTCAAATTATATTTTGTGTAGTTCGTGTTTAATGTTAGACGTTGCTCTCCTGTTGTGTCTGCTGTTGTGGTTGTCTTCTGTGTCTGCTGTTGTGGTTGTCTTCTGTGTCTGCTGTTGTGGCTGTCTTCTGTGTCTGCTGTTGTGGCTGTCTTCTGTGTCTGCTGTTGTGGTTGTCTTCTGTGTCTGCTGTTGTGGCCGTCTTCTGTGTCTGCTGTTGTGGCTGTCTTCTGTGTCTCTTTATCTTCTCTCTCTAGTTGTAACTTTTTCTCCTCTCTCTCATTCTAGTTTTTTCCACTATTTCACGATTTATCTCTAACTCAGGAATTTTCACTAAGAGGCTCACATTACGTTCATCTTGGTCACTTTCATCATCACTTCCCTGGTCTTCCTTTTCAGTGGGAAACCATAACATTTTCACCTTTGCTCTGCACTTCACTTTCCTGCTTACCAGCAGGTTTTAAATGCCTATATACCTTTGAGAGGATTTCCCCACGTGAGTCCCGATCGCTCACCTTAATCTCAAGGCACTTATTAAAACCAACGCAGGTTTTCCAAGATGTTTCAAGTGGAAAGGCAGCCCTACTGGTTCAAGAACTCCTGAACATCGTCCAGAGTGTCAATGGTCTGTTTCTCGGCCATGGTTCGCTGTCGTAACGTTGCACACAATCACGTAACACTGCACTGATTCCCAACACCGCAAAATACACTTAACACTTGTACACAAACAAAGGGGAAATCTAGACAAGAGGATTGCACTAAGTACTTAACCAGTTCTGTCACTCTTACCTGATGAGGAGTCTGATTATGTTACGGCCAGCTTGGACCAGTAACCGGGTTCTTGCTGTTAATGTGTCTTATAAC